CTCACCTGTCCCATCACCTCACGGTCAATAGGACAGAGTTGAGTTCGGGCCCCAATCCTGTTGCGCCACCGCATAATTCAGCTCAGTTCGGGGTTCAATGCTGACAAGACGGGAGTACTTGGTGTCAGAATATTCCTTTTATAAAAGGGTCCAGAATGCAAGTTGAAAGGGACAAGAAAAAATCTCAAAAAAAAACACACTTATTGTAACACCCGAGAAACCTCCCATAATTGGAAAAAAACAAGAGGATTTGCTGGATCATAAGAGGATCCTATGTCATTTTATTCCCTTTGAGCGATCTTTTGCATCTTTTGTATCTTAAGTTGGCGCATTCAATTTTGGACGTCAACAAATAGCAATAATCAAAGTTGACCTACTGTTTGTGATTGAGTCAGCTAAGTTTACAACATAATAGGCTTCCACATTTAAATGATTATTCTTAAAGAATGACAAGATTTTACATCGGAGCTTTTGAGTATCTCTAAATCTTCATGACTACTCCATATGCTCTAGTGCATAAACTGACTATTGACTAATGTATCTTCCCTTATCGTAAAAGTAATGTATGGTCTTATGTGAGATAAATAGATGAGCTTGCTCACAAGCTTAGTCAATTTCTTCATTTCTAATGCCATGTCAAAATTGTAGTCATACCCATGGGAGTTTCAGTTTTCTTGCAACCTTGTGTGTTTTACAAAGAGATTCCTTGTTGAGAAGAGATTTTTAAATTTCAAATGAACGTGCAAGAAGACTTTTGGATTCTTGTTATCCTTCACGCTGTCACCAGTCACAATAATATCATATACACTATTGAATTATATCTAGTTAGCAACCATCTGAAGAAATTTGTGAGTTGTAACTGATGGGTCAAGTAACGAATGCAAAGGTGATCTTGAGATACCATAAGGGTAATCAGGGAAAAGGACTTCTCTTTGCAAAAACTAATCCTTTCGAGATAGAAGCATAGGTATATGTTGATGGGGGCAGATTGGGTAGGAGCCTAAAAACTCCTATCTCATCAGAAGTGGTTTACTTGGAAAAAGGGAAAAAAAATGTTGATGGGGGCAGGTTTAGTTAGTAGAAGATTACGTCTGTAAATTGCGTCTTTATTGGAGGTAACCTTGTAACTTGGAGGACATGTAGTGGTGAGGTTTAGTGCTGAAACTTGAGTGAGCTAAATTTGTACATCATACATCCTTCACAAAGACAGGCAGATACTCTTACACTTTCAAGAACTGATAAGCAAGCTAGGTATGATTGACATGTACAACGAAGTTTGAAGGGGGGGTGCTGAAGATCTTGAGTTTGTGAATAAGAATGTTACAACTTGCACTTTATCAAAGGGAATATGATCATTGAACGATTAGTTGATGACCTTTTCCTCAATAGATTCAGTCAATGTCATTTCATAAATTGGCCTGTTTTATTTTCTTATATATTATGTAATTTTCTTAGGTTTGTTTTAGTTGTATACTTTTTATGAATTGCTGTAACATAGTCTAGGTTACTAGTTTTTTGTCCTTTAAATATCATCAACTCTTCTGAATCAATACAAGGAAAAAGATTTCTCCTTCTCACAGTAGAAAGAAAATTCAAAGATTTTTGACATGTTAATGTGCAAGGAATCCATTTTTGACTTTGTCTGCTCATAACACCTTTAATTTTGTTTCAGAAGAAAAAAAATTGCTCAACAAGATCTTTCCTGTATATTATTGGTGTAACTGAAAGCAGCCACTCCTATTAGTTACATTACATATAAGACAAAAAATTACTTTTTAGTTCCCGTTTTCCTAGCCAAGTTGACTAAATGATGCACGCTGATTTAATAAATATATAGTTGTTCCAATAATTAGCGGCCTGAGTCATGCTAACTTCCCACTTTACACACCATTGTAATGTATTACTGTCGTGCTCTAATGCTTGGACTTTTCGAAATGGACGAAGTACCCATATCGGACACGACATGGGTATATGTATGAGATATATATCAGATCCTCCAAATTTCAACCGGACACCTCGCCGTTTCTGATTCTTTCTTTTTCTTCTTCTTTTTTTTCCTTCCCCTTCTCTTCTTTGGCGGCGGCACTAGGTTTCTATATTTTTTCTTTGCCTTTTCTTCTTTTTTTCCTTCTTTCCGCTTTGTATCGATGGTTTAGGGTTTTCTTTATATGAAATGAAAATTTATAGTGCTATTTAGGATTCCACTAAGTTTAAATTGCAATTATGTCCCTCATTTTCTATTTTATATAACATTTAATAATTAACTTTCCATAATTGAAAACTAAACCCCAAAATTCTATTTTATTCGTTTTAATCACTTATTTAATACTCATTTTCTTTTTTGTGAAGGATTCCATCGTTAGAAACTCCACAGTTAAGCGTGCTTGGTTTAGAGCAATTCTATGATGGATGACCCCCTGAGAAATTTTCTTGGGGAGCGTGCGAGTGAGGACAAAGCTGAAAAGACCCATGTTGGTACAGTGAGGACAGTACGTCGTCGATCTAATGGTCGGAACAGCCCGTTAAGTGGTACCAGTTGTCCAATTGGTACCAGATTCAACTTAAGTCTCTCATATGATGGAGGTCTTGGGTTCGAATCCTGGGGGACGCATCAGAAATACGTGAGGGGTCAGATGGGCCTAGGACCTTCAAAAGTGGACAGTACGTACGATATGATGACGATTTNTTGTTACAGTGAGGACAGTACGTCGTCGATCTAACGGTCGGAACAGCCCGTTAAGTGGTACCAGTTGTCCAATTGGTACCAGATTCAACTTAAGTCTCTCATATGATGGAGGTCTTGGGTTCGAATCCTGGGGGACGCATCAGAAAGCCGTGAGGGATAAGATGGGCCTAGGCTCTCCCGAAACGGACAGTACGTAAGATAACGGCTCCGGTGAGAGGCCGGGTCGTTACAAAAAAAAACGCTCGTTTTTTAGTAACGACCAAGTCTCTCACCGGAGCCGTTATCTTACGTACTGTCCGCTCGGGAGAGCCTAGGCCCATCTTACCTCTCACGACTTTCTGACGCGTCCCCCAGGATTCAGTTGCCCAATTAGTACCAGAATTCAACTTAAGTCTCCCATATGATGGAGGTCTTGGGTTTGAATCCTGGGGGACGCGTCAGAAAACCGTGAGGGGTAAGATGGGCTTAGGTTCTCCCGAAGCGGACAGTACGTAAGATAACGGCTCCAGTGAGAGACCGGGTCGTTACATACTCACGTACCCGTATTCGAAATTTAAACTATTTTTAACAATGTCCCCGTATTCTATATTTTAAAAATAAAAGATCCGACACTTAGATACATACCCATACTCAAGTCCCAGCATCATAGCTGTCGTGGAGTTGACGAGACAATGGAGGTATTTACATTGATGACCTTATAGTTGGTGCATAGGAAATGGTTAGAGATTGTTTTTGCTCTTATATCTTCAAAAATGTTAATAGATGGTAGATTGACATATTTTTATCTAGAACATCTTGTCGAAATGAAACTCGGATACACTGACAGAAGGTAAAAACATATATGCTCTCTCTCTTTTGCAGTGCCACCTTGGCTTAAAAAAATTACACATAGGATCTCTGAAGAATCAAGGTTGTTCCCATCAGAAATTAATCATGTGCTTATCAATGAGTACCTTCCTGACCAAGGAATTATGGTTTGTACTGAACTTACTTTATCTCCTTTCCATTTTCTTTTTCTGGAAAAGGTTTCAGTATGATTTATTTTCTAGTTCGTCATTGCAGTTACTAAATGCAGTAAATAAGATGAGAGAGGTTGGGGTCCTGTATTAGGCTAAACTGTACCACGCTCAACCCTTGACCCTCTTTGCACTTTTGGGCAGAACTCTTTTTCTTAACATTTAAACCCTCAACCTTCCATATCTAGGCATATTTCATTCCTGCTCACAGTTTTCCATCCAAAAGAACCATTAAATATGACAGAAAGCCATCTTTTCCCTCAAATTCAATCAAAAAATAAATAAAAAAGGGAAGAAAACGAAAAATCCATATTCTTCCCCAATCCCCCCCGGGGTTACACACACTTCCCCTAACCCACTGTTGGCTTGGGGGGCCCTCCCTAGAGGAGGCCTTATTTGCGTAATTTTTTTTTTTTTTCGTAATGATATTGTATGTTTGAAATATGGCTCCCATTGGAGTCACTGTCCTCTTTAAATGCAGAACGAAGCATTCTGCATGAATCCTTTCCATATTTGGGCTCCCATGGGGACTGAGGTAGGGGGTGAGGGATCGTTGGGAAGAAGAAAAATTTTCTATTTTTTTTCATTTTTTTGTTTGTCTGAATTTGAGGTGGAAACTGTCCTTTCGTCAAGTTTATTGCTTTCTTTTCTTTTCTTTTCTTTCTGGATGAAGACCGTGAGTAGGGACAAATTACACCTAAAAGTTGAAAGGTGAGGGCGTCTAAATGCCAAAAAGATAAAAAGGATTTGGTCAAGGGTTGGGGAATGAGCTTGTGATATAGCCTTCGGAAAATAGCATTGCTTGTTAAAAATTATTATGCATTTTCCAAGTTGTTAACTTTGACGCCGTGTAGTCACTCTTTTGATTTTTCTAAAAGATTACTTCACTACAGCCGCACCAGGATGGACCTGCCTATGTACCTGTGGTGGCAATTCTGTCTCTCGGATCATCTGTTGTTATGGACTTCACTCCCCATCCAAGTTTGAACAACTCCACTGACACATCAGGAAACAATATTGATGATAAAACCTTGAAACCAGAACATATGACGGTGAATTCTAGGGAAGAGTTGAACGAATACAAACCCTTTTCTGTATTACTGATGCCTCGCAGTTTGTTGATATTTAAAGACAAGGCATATTCAGGTTCATAATTCTTCAATTCCATTTGCTTCTAGTGGTGTGTGAACATTTGGTCCAAGGTAAATATTATTACCATAATTAAATTTTTTTTTCCCCAGACTACTTGCATGGTATAAAAGATAATGAGATGCTGCGATATGATGAGGTAAGACATAAAGATAACAAGTGCTAAATATTGGAAAATATTGATGATTCTGACATTCAGTAATTCAGTGTTTTCCTATTTCAGGCTGTAAATGTTGCCAATAGCATGAAAAGTCACGAACGAGCAAAGCCCATGTTAGGCTCGAAGGCGGCAACTGATGATAATGAAACTGGAGGTGACACTGTCATTCACAGGACTAGTAGGAGAATTTCTCTGACATGTCGAGTAGTGATGAAAGTTCACAAAAATCTAATAAAACTTTAAGTCTAGCCTCAAAGAAGATAAGTAGCTAGAATGGAGTTTAGCATTTAGGACTTGTATTGGAGCTGGTGAGGTCTATCCAAACAAAACCTTGAATTCAATTGTGAAATTATATCTCAGGAATTGCTCAAATGGTAATCAAGCTGAGCACGTGGTGCATATTAGCCCTTGTTTGATGGCTAATATTTGAAAAAAAAACAATAGTTTGAATATTGATTATTAGGAAAAGTTTT